TTGCCCCGGAGGACGCACACATCGGTCGTTGTTCCGATAAACGCACGAGCAGAGTTCGGCGGGCTCCGGGGCAGGGCGTGGGGAGTCGCCGAAACCACCGAAATATTTCTGGAGACACCTCCCGAACAAAAGGAAGTAATGTTTTTACGGAGCCAGATTGGTTTCGCTATGGTGTTTATCATATTTTGTTTTTATTTCCTTTATATTGGGTGCAGAAATTCTACCTGAATTCTCGGTCCGTAGTATTGAACATAACGTTTTTTCTGAAAGGGGATTGTTTTCCCGGGGCGTAAACGGTCCGTTTATATTACGCCGACGAAACGGGAGAAATAAAAAAAAAAAAAAAAAGGCCGAAATATTATTCGGGAAAAACGATAGTTTCCGATTGTTTGCCAAACAGTTTTACACTGAGAACGTCGAAAAAAAACCGCGAAACCCCAGCCGGCAATAGAGCGCGTTCGGTAAAAACGGAAAACGCGTAAAACACCGTGCGTCAAGACGACATTACGACATCTCGGACCAACTCGCGCCTCGGCACACGCGCACGCGACCGCTGCGAGTCAACGATTCGAAAAACATTTCATTGGCCCGTACAGAAACTGGAAGAAAAAAAAAAAAAGGAAAAATAATAATATCCGCGCGTACACGGCACGCAGAACAGCGCCGAAACCGCAGCGCGTGCCGCGCGGACGCAATGTTTCGCGATGTGTTTTATTTTGATTCGACTCGGTCGCGCGGCCGGCGCGGAAAACGAAAAGACCGCGCCCGCGGACTGCGTTTGTTCGCTGTTCGCGTTACGCGTGATCGCGTCGCGTCGTCGCGCCACGCGGTTCGCCCGTCACTATCACGCGGGCGTGCACACTCGTACCCAACCGGCGTCACGTACAGCCGAACGGCACGCGAAACAGTCGGTTCGCGTGTTGTAAAAAAGACAGAAAAAGTTTTTTCGGCGCACAGGGCCCCGCGCGTCATCGTCGCGTTTCGCAAAGCGTCCGGCACGGCGTACAGCGAACGGAACGCGAAAAACCGCGCGCGCGGCCGGTACGCGGGGAGAACGAGAAACCGTTCAGACGGTATCGTTTTCCGTAACGGATGCGGGAAAACCGCGACGGTAAACTGCGTACTGGGTGATCCGTTTGCGGCGAACCGTGGCGATTGTCACGGGAGATTTCGAGAGGGAGGGTGGGGGGGGGGGGGTTCAACGCGATTATTTTTTTCAGTTTTTTTTTTTTTTGTTTGTTTTTTTTTGTTTTTCGACCGTTACACCGCTCCGGCGTCGTACCCGCCGACCGGGGGTTTCGCGCGGTTTCGGTTTCCAATAACATCGCGCCGGTAAAACGAACGCGCCGTCGCCCGTTTTTACGCGGATTCCGCGTACAGCCGTTTAGTGGGTATTTCGCCCGAAAACGTCGACGCCTCGTAACCGTTACAGCGCCACGTCCCGTGGAACGGGGGAGCGTTATCGATTTTTCCTCCGAAAACGGACACCGCGGCGTCTTCGTCGCGTCCGTCGGAGTTCGTTACCGTTTACTGTGCGCTTCCGGTTTAAATGCCCGTTAATCGCACAGGCGTTTCGGGCGAAACGGTTTTTTCAGACGAACGTTTCCATTGAAATCCGCGGTTAAAGATGATTGGGGGGGAGGGGGCGAAGGCGGTGTACGGGTTTTTCTTTTTAATTTTAAAATCGAAATTTTCGCCCGTTTTCAATGCCCCGCGAGTTGGGTCGGGAATATTCGGATTTCCGTTGGTTCGTTATCGGCTATACGATTGGACGGTGAATGGCCTCGGAAAGTATTCAAATTGAAAACGAAACGTCATATGTCGACGTTTTTGATTTTGCGCGAAGTCAGGAAATCGTTGGTTTTACTATGAAAAGGTTTTTTTTTTTTTTATTTTTTTTTGTGCGAGCGTGTAAACGATTTGTTCACTAGACATCAACTCAACAGGAGTTTTCTTGTAGCATTTCGATGTATCGAAAAAGGTTATGTTTTTAATTTTCTTATAGACTCTCTCTCGACAAATCGGGAATTTTTTTTCTCGTATAATTTACGCGGATTTCCGGGGTACAACTGAAACGACATTCCGCTCAGAAACGTTTTTCGTTAACGGCCGTTCATTATCGCTCGCGGATATAACAATTAAATCCGTCTGTATGCCATACACGTCCTTCCGTCCGACTGTTTTTATTATTTCATTCAAAAAAATATCATCATTACGAGTGTAGTAGGTACGAGTCGATGCGGGAAAACGCCGCGTGCGAACCGCCGCGGTGTTGCCCGACATTGCGGTAAAACGGTGAACGCAAAAATAATAATAATACGTTCGCCGATTAAATCTACGCGTAATTATATCGTCGTATTTATAGTACTTATTATAATCATTTACATTATCGCGACGTGCTGTAATAATATTATAATGCCACGCAGTTAATAGTTTTGCACGAAGGCAAACAAACTCCATATACTTAGGTAGTATAAACTTCCGAGCGAATTGTGCAGTGGGAATATTTTTGTTTCGTAATATAATTAATTCGAGCGGAAAGCAGTTAGTAAATGGAAACGTCGTCGTTTTGTTTGTTTGTTTGTTTGTTTGTTTTTGTTTTTTTTTTTAATTTTTTTTTTTTACGAATTCTCGAGTTTAGAATTTACACAAACTACACACGACAAATACCGTAGTAGGTACTTTATAATGTTTTTTCTAGATTTTCTACACTTATACTAATAACCGTTATGTTTAATAATATTCATTTGTATATTTTAGTAAATGTGTATTGTGTTATAAGGTTCGAGTTAAAACTACATAAAATAAAAAAATAAAAAAATATCTGATACTAGGGACGGTGACAGCCGTTATTGTAGGTGCGTAGATAGGAAGCTGGGCTACATATAGTTAATGTACGCCTTTAACCAACGATCAGCAATTACTAACGAAAAACGATTCGGAGAGAAGTTCGGTTATACATGTTATGAAAGTCCGTAATATTCATGGTCTTCGTCAAAATTTATATTTAAAAATTCTCATATAATTTTCAAGTATTTCTGTTGGATCTCACAGTTTTACCCACGGAATACATATCGAATACGAATTACGTAAAAAAAATCGCAAAATTAAAATATCTTTAAAAATGGCTCAAATGTTTCGACAATTTTACCAATTCTAAAAGAGGCAAACACAAGTTTTTGTGTTAATAAAAAATAAATTTGACAAAATGTACAGTTCTTTTTACGTTTTTTTTTCCCCCGGTTTTGTTAAATTATTAAGCAAATTGCAAAAACCAAACTGAAAATCTAAAAAAAGTCTTACCTACTTATTGACTAAATTCAAAATTCAATAAAAAAGATTTAAGCATTTTTCTTATTAAAACAGAATTTCTGGTAGAAAATCTTCTTCTTGGATTCGGAACTTAATACTGTACCGCTAATTACAAAACCTGTCACACATCTCTCTGTAGTTCTCTGTAGTTTATCTCCATTATTAAACTTAACGTTCCGTCGTCCGAATGCCCTTCTTAGGAAAATATTCTCACCTCAACCGCGTTTCTCTTTTTTCTAGACGGCTATACAGTGTCGTAAATAATACTTTTCTTTGGAGAGTAATATTCGTTAATAACATCAATAAATCGATTTATACTCTACTATATCACATGGTTTGATAAACATTTAACATTAATAATAAACGGACATGCATACGTGGCGTTTTGTATTGAATTATACTTAAGTTATTTCAAAAAAAAAAGACAAAAAAATGCTTATAGAAACGACGGGTATGTCCCCAACTTACAGAATGTATAGGGTCACTGCACGTGCGTCCACCTCTTTTTTTTTTCGCGTTGTTTACTATTATTAACTTGTATTTTTTTTTAATACTGTTCATGACGTTCAGTTGTGTAGTTTATCAGGGCAGCAGGTTGCGATAAGATCGATAACCGATGTACTTTACGCATGCGCAGAAGTGAAACGTCCACTGGACGGTGTCGGCGACACGTTTTATTGCTTGTAGCTCTTGTACCAGTTGTACACACGATGTGAGGTTTCGGTACTGTCCGGCCGATTGTGCGTTACCCGAAAATCACCCCCATCCTCCGTCCTCCCTGAGTGTACTATTTTGGCTGTTTAGGGTGGTCGCCCGCACTACCCGTTAACTCCGGCACTGGCCCCATCGCCCCCCCCCCCGCCGGCGCACCGTCCGCTCGTTTCGGGGACGCCCGCGTGCCGGGCCTACGGGATCGAGATTTCGAAGTCCGTCGCGACGGGTTGTCCGCCGTGGTCCGCCGCGTGTTCAGACGTCGAGAACGTTTCATCTCGGCAACCCGACCGGCCGATCACTGCGGTTTCCCGGGATCTGCGCGGCGGCCAATCGCGCACGCCTCGGAACCGCGCACGGCGATAATCGATTCGGCTGTAGTTCTCACGCCGAGTGCAAACACTCGTTTGTATCGCTGCGCCGCCGGAGTATCGCGGTTCGCCCGTAACGGTGACGTCCAAAGGCGACAACACCGCGGCGAGTCACAAATGCGCGCGGCCGGCGCCGCGTTGATATCGTATACACACCGCGGACGATCGACCACGTCGAAACAACGACGTGCGCGCCACGTGCGAAATTAATGCCGAATTGACGGGCGCGCGTTGAAACATTAGCATAATGGCGTACGAACGCGCGCCCGGCGGTCTCCCGTCTGGCGCAGCTGCGGGCGCCGCTATGAAGTCGGGCGAAAGTTTCGCGAGCCGACACCGCGTCGGCCGTAACAGCGATTATTACCGAACGGGATTCGGGTTTCCCACTGCATCGAAACGTTATCGGTACGCGTGACATAATCGGTCTTGCGTGCTCGAATACACCGGTGTATTCGCAGGAATACTTTGACGGAACGCTTTTTGACGGGTGCATTTGGAATACTCACTCGGAAAACACGCGGGTTTTAAATTCAATTTCTATTCCGCGATACGAAACGGCAATACTGTTTGTAATAATAACAAACAAAAAAAAAAAAAACTGAAGCGATGGAAATGTGGATCCGGAGAAGGTTACTTCGCATTAGTCGGACTGAAAGTAAAAGACACTCTCCGAACAGTAGAGGAGACAAGAGTACTGATACCGATCGTCGGATCATGAAACGGAAGACTCACGAGACACTTAATAAGACACGACCCCTTCGTGACCGGCGCAATGGAAGGAAAACGCAACGGACGCGAAAGAAGAGCGACGCCGTGGAAGACATTCGTAGGAGAGATAATCGAAACGGCCGGACGCGACGGGTATTCGCATATGAAAATTCCGGCGTTAAGGAGAGAATAGCGGAAATCTATTTGTCGTTCACTATGACGAGGCCCGGCCTTTAGAAAATGCAAAGAAGAAGAATATGAAACAATTTTGTTCGCGTTACCCCAGTTATTCGTTTCAGTGCATTTGACGAAAATCCGCAAAGTCTTGTATCGGGACAAAATCGCCGGTACTGGGAACAGCGATCGCGCCGGACGAACCCGTAGTCACGACGGCGGATCCACGTGCACGGCCAGCGACTTCCGACACGCTGCCGGCAAAACCGTTTACGTGCGCCGCGGCACCTCGCACTGGAGGTACCGTGACCGACACACGGCCTACGGCTGTTTGCGGTAATCATACGACCCGTGCGAATCCACCGTGACCGTGGACCCAACGCGGTCCGGTGCCACCCGGCGTGGAGCGGTGCGGTCCAGAAAGAGCAGGCGAATTAGGGGGAAGGTGACAGCGGCCCAGGGGGACGGTACCGGTACGCCTCGACGCCAGTACGAGCCACAGTTCGCCTGTAGCGTGCTCTGCCCCTTAGCGCAGTCCGCCCGGCCCTACGCGCCGCGGCAACGCTCGGTATGCTATTTCGCCTCTTGCCGTCCGCTGAGTGTAATCCGCTGTGAACCGCGGCGCGGGGCCGGACGGCACATTCAATTTCGCACCACCGCATAATGTTTTGTACACTCCACTGGTGTCGTTGTATCAATGCGCGTGGCTGTAAAATCACCGAGTCCAATTTCGTTGTTGTTTTTTTTTTTCTGTTTTTTCACATTTATACAAAGTTAACAATACCAATTACCCGAACCGCAGCGTGTGTTCGTATTGTTACTGTCTACAAATCTGCATTTAAATTAAATATCCGTGAGTAAATGTGTAGTTTGTAATTTTCGTCGAACGTCTCGAGGATTTATCGAATGCACAGGGGGGAAAAAAAAGAGAGTATTTCGAATGTTTTTTAATGAGCGTTTGTATTTTTTACGCAAAACAATTTCGAAATGACGCGTGCGAATAAACCGTACGGCAGTATTCGAAAACGCACTCTGAACACGTTTCCAATGTTCTTTTAACAAAACTGTATGATACATAGGACACCGCGAAATTCTGTTCGCAATTTTCAAAAGTATTTCAATGCCAGTATACCCATTAGTATAGTACACTCGATAACCGCAGAAAGGTTTTTGTTCTCAAGAAAGACAAAAAAAAAAAAAACTAATCAATTGAAATAATACAAAATTATACACCATTTTAAAACCTTTCAGGGTCGATTTTGAAAAAATCTAAATCGAAAAAAAAAACTACGAAATATTATCTTTTTAAAATTACATTTTTTTATGTCGAGGATGTGTCTCCTTTTTGCGGTACACGTGTGCCCTTTGCACCGTAGGAGGGTTATGGACGTATTATGTTCTTTTTATGCCAAGGACATGTCTCCTTTCTGCAGTAAACACATTGTATCATAAAAAGAATATATTACGGGACATGTCCTTTTTCTATTGTAAACTGTAATTTCCGGACGCTATTTTCAAATGTTTGGACAGTTGGATTTGGCTCCTTTCCGCGGCAAATAATGACAATAAAACGAAAATTGACAAATATGGACATGTCTCCATTCTGCGGTTTACGATTAACGATAGAACGGGGGAGGCGGGGAGGGCTCTTTGTATTATGCCGAGGAAATAGTTTTGGCGGCCAAGAGTCTAAATGGCTCGTAAAGCCTAAAAAAAAAAAATAAATAAAAAAAAATAAAATACTTTGTTATTTTTATTTCAGTCTATAGTAAAATAAAAATATTATGTGACTTACAAACAAGGAAACAAGGAAGGTAATTTAAGTGTAGTTTTCTTTTATTCCAATCGAAAAAGCTAAATCTAAATGTATTGTTGGTTACCAGTTCATAAACAGGAAATATCAAATACCGAAGCATTCAAAATAGAAAAAAGAAATGCAATATTTAAAAAAAAAAAACTGAATTTTCCGGCGTTCTATACGAAAATTAACGACGATCGTAGGAAACTTTTTTTTTTTTTAGATACTGAACATAGCGTGGGATCTGTTGGTTTTAAAATGATGTAAATTATTTCTTTCTATCGAAAATCCTACTAAAATCGAAAAATAATGCGGTCTTTTCCAGTTAAATTTTAGATTTAGTTAGTATGCAATTCGTGTTTCGATTTACCAACCAGATTTCATAATAAACGAGGAAATCTGTAAAAAACGTAGGAAATATCGGAGAGCCTACGACATTAATGGTTTCAGTATTTTTTGGTTGTTTTGTTACAAATTATTAAACAATTGGTAGATAGCTGAAATTTACACTGTATACTAAGACTTAAGACTTTTTTAACGTTTTAACGAAATTATAGGTATTTTTTTAGTTTTTATTTTATTGGTATTCTTTTAATATCGATTAAACAGAAATGCTTGGCAATTTAACCAGAGGTTCTTTATGAGTCATATGGATCAACAAAACAATAACGGAAAATTGAGTTTAATGTAGTATTTTTGTTTTCATAACAATTTCAATATCAAATTTTGACGAAAATCGTAAATATTACGGCCTTTCAATGTTATAACCGAGAACTGAACTTTGCACTTTTCGTCGAATACGGTTCATCGTATAAATTAAATAACTTCGTACGTCTTGTATTTGTAACTTACCACCTTCAAAAGCGGCATTATATCCGTCACCACTATCATTTATCAGTTTTTTTTTTTTTAAACTCATATCAGACATACAGACCCGAAAAAAAAAACGGTGCTCGGTTATTTTAAACACGTTAATCACTCCGTATCATAATATTTTTATGTTGTGTATAATATATATTTATATATTTTGATTATGTCGACAGAAATCGGATATCGGATTTTCTTTAAGACGTCGGATAATTTAAACATCGGCTCGCGGTTTAAAGAAAAAAAAAAAATCGAAAATCCCGCGTCGGTTATCGGATTTCTACGCGAATATACTTCGGACGTCGGGCTATCGGACAAAAGTCACGCTATTGCAGCTATTGCACTCGGCCCGTATGCGCGGAACGCCGAAAACGGTGGCCGCTGCCTTTACCGGAAGCGGCACGCGTTTGTGCGCTCGAGATGTTCTTATTATCGCATACAATTTCCGATTTTCACGTGTCGCGGCGTTTACGCGCGGTTAGGAGGAGTCGGCGTGCGGACGCGCCCGTCGTCGGAAACCCGTGCGGTTTTCGCCGCCCGAAACACGGCGTCGCTATAGTGCCGCTACGCCGTTACCGTAAACGCGGTAACGCCGGCGTGCGCGGACCGCGTCCGATCTCGGTCCGCGCTCGCCGTATCGTTGCGTCCGGCTCGACACGTATTGGCGTCGCGGTCGGATTCCGGGGGCGCGAAACGAGCGTCTCGAAAACGTCGAATTCGTCTTGTGCATTTTTTTTTTTTTTTTCGGGGGACAGCTGGCCGAGGTCCGTTTGGGCGACGGTACGTTCGCCTAACCTGACCATATCATCCGAACTACCTAAACCCCAAAGTGGAAATATCTCGTCAACGGTTTAACGGAAATCGAACATTGTTCACGTGTTTAAACTAATACTCGCTGCTCCGGCTGTTTATCGATTTTTAATACGCAATTTATCGTTTGAACATCAAACGGATATGCGCGTGTTTCATCGCCGAAATTGAGGACGACGAAAAATAACGAAAACGCATCGTTTCGAAGACTAACGTTGATTGACACATTAATGCGATTGATTTTTTTTTTGTAAAGCTTGTAGCCTTCGGGAAAACGAGATTCGCGAACAATAATCGAATAACGCGTACAAGACGTCCGCGCGTTAAAATTCGAACGTTCAATTTGTCAACTAATCACGTTGCTGGTTAACACACGCGGGCGTGTTTTATAAAAACAAAACCGGCGCTCTTCGAGATCGCGACGAGCGTCTTACCGGTCGGACCGGTCGGCGACCAGCGGTGGTCACCTCGTATCACCGCCATCGTATACGTGTCACCGCGCGCGTGTCGTTTTATTTCGACGCGCTCCCCGTCCGCCTTTTCAAAAACCAGCCGGACCCGCTTCGTCCGTCTGACGTTCGTGCGACCGTTGTTACTGGCGGCGACATTGCGTTCGCGGGTCGCACACACGCGACCGTTTCGCCGGTTCGGTTTTTAAATTGTTTTACGACCGTACAAACATCGCTGTTCGATACTTTCTCGAGTTTTGGAATTATCGAACCGCCCGTCCCTAAATTATAAAAAACGTGTCATTGAGTCTCGAATGTTTCTTCCCCTCTTCGTCACACCACGGCAGTTTACACACTCGTCACGTAATAATATTACGATGTTTCGCGCTAATAACAATCGATTTTTACATTCGAAAAAACGATATTGGACAGATTCACGATTATGCCCGCGCGTCCACCGTTTCGATTTTGAATAATCGCCTTCACATTCTTAAAAAGATGTTGTCATTTTTATGGTATCCCGATAACGGACTGTTATGTTTTCTCCGTAGACAAACACATATTGGTTATGTCTCGGATCCGAGTCTTATAGCATTTTTTTTCGCTTAATTCGACAGTTTAAAATTTGCTTTTTACTGATTTTTTGGGTTTTTCAAATATGTTCAGCAATCTATACATTTATTTCAGTGTTGTATTGAAGTTTTTTTTTATTGATTAAGCGCTATAAATCCAGCCTCTTTTTCAAGCATTGTTTTACACCAACTGTTTACGTTTCGCGTCAACGTGTTTTCGTAACAATGATCACAGGAACCGCTGTTAAATGGATTCGAAAGTATACTTACTCGCCTGTTTTAAAAATTGATAAACTTGCAGATATTTTCTTTTTTTTTCTTCAAAATTATCTCAAGAATAAGACATGTACGTACAGGCAAACTTTTTCGGATTTGAGACGTAGTCCATTATAATTACGAGAACCGTAATGCTATCATATCACGCGTATCTCTTCTATTCGACTTTAATATTAATTTTAACTAATTAACGCGGAACAAGTATATGTTTGAAATTTTGTTTTTCGAGCGCCTATCAAAGGGTGATCGCGTTTTGTTGTTTGTTTTTTTTTTTTTTATAATCTCCCGCGC